GAACCTCACTTCTTCAGATGCAAGTGAAGAAGTGAGGTTCTTACCCACGAAAGCTTATGCTCCCAATACTTCTGTTAGTCTCAAAGGTGCCACAGGATCCTCTGTTGCTCTAAACCTTAATGGGGTCCTCGGCCCACACAAAGTCTACACTAGTTTGGAAACTGTACTTAGAGGAACCCTATCCCTAGTACTAGTTCTGAAACTCTAGCCATAGTCCTAGGCCCCTAAGCCTAGCTCCAAATGACTTCCCAATAAGAACTGCACTGAACCGTAATGAAGTTTGCTTCGCTTCAAATGTTCAAGAAACGATGATTCAATTAGCAAGTCGTTACAAGCAGTAATCAGGACAAAGTTCTGGTTAGTTAAGCTTAACAACCCTATTATCCCCTAACGCTGACCGATTTCGAACCGCTTATACATGAAGGTTCCATGAGAAACTTTTTCCAGCAATGATTTTTTTCTGGTAATCTTCGATCTCCGAGTACCTGTGAAGAATTAGCACAGTAGCCTAAAAGTTTGAAAATGAAGAGCCCCTTAGAGCAAGCACGGATCAGTAATACGTCTTCTTTTGTTTGTAACGTTCACTGGCCGATTTATCCCAAAATTCTGGGGATGGAATCCACATTGCTTTAGAAATGAAGAGTCTCCGCACGGATGAGCACCTTCCATCCGATCGCGCCCACATAGTCTCCTAAGGGCTTTAAAATGGGACATCAAAGCGCAATCCGTCACAAGCACTGAGTTTGCTTGCTTGGCACTGTTCACTATCCGATCTCCTCCCAGTGATCAGGCCCTGTTTCCTAATGGCTTTACATGTGGCGAGTCCATGCGGTCCCACATAGTATCTGAAAGGTTTTAAGCTGGAGAATCAGTGAGTAATTCATTTCAAGCAAGGCTCAATTATGTTTTGCTTTGCCTGTCATTTTTGACCAACCCCTAATGCTTGGGAGAGCCGCTCGACGGATATGAAATTGAGCTTCTTAGAGAAATGTGTCACCTGCAGTACTCAATAAGGAGATTTGCTTTTTTGGTAATGTTCCTGGGCCGATCTCTTTCAAATGATTAGGACAGTATCCTAAGTGCTTTAAAATAAAAGTTCCGTGATAAACTTTTCCAAGCAATGATCAATAATGATTTTATTTGTTTGGTTGTAATTTTCGAGCGCCAATCTCTTCCAAATAATCAACACTGTAGCCGAATGGCTTTAAGGAGAAGATTCCTTGAGAAATTTTCCACCAGCTCTGACTAGTTATGACTGTCTCTTTGATTGTAATTTTCCCTAGCCGATTTTTCCCCAGCTGCTTGAGGGAAGCCAAATTGTTTACGAGTGACGCGTCGTATCGGTAATGAGTTTGCTGTAGACCCTTACCACCTAGTCTTATAACGCTTTTCTCTCCCTTTGGGCTTTTGTCTCCCTCAGGGAGTCGACTCGCTCTACTCCTCGGGACCTCCACTCACAGAGGGAATAAAGCAACCCTGTTCGTTAGACCGGAGCCAACATAAAACAGGAAGTTTATTGAGCATCTGAACACAGCATCGGAAAGTTTCTGCACAGTATAGCTATGTCTCCCCTGCCCTCAGGTAGGCTCTCTGAGTTCTCTCGCCCCACAGTCCAGAGACCCTGCGCTTTCCAGTTGGGCAGCCGAGATCACAGTCTCCAACCTCTCCTCCCCTAGCCTTTGTGTTCCGTCCCAGGTAAACAGAGAGCTGGGGCCCTCTCGCTTCAGCCCTTTCTCGTCGGAATCCCTATGCCTGGGGCAACAAGGAGGGGCGAGGCCTACGCATACGAACCCTTACGCCATACGGCTTACCCTTCGAGACCTTAAGCCCTAGGGAACAGAGCCCTAGATATAAAACCCCATTCCCTAGGGCTGTGCGCGCTCCCCATAGGAATTCGAAGGCTTACTTCACTTTGCCTAGCCATTCGAAACCTAAACCTTAATGGGGTCCTCGCCCCACACAAAGTCTACACGAGTTTGGAAACTGTACCTAGAGGAACCCTATCCCTAGTACTAGTTCTGAAACTCTAGCCATAGTCCTAGGCCCCTAAGCCTAGCTCCAAGTGACTTCCCAATAAGAACTGCACTGAACCGTAATGAAGTTTGCTTCGCTTCAAATGTTCAAGAAACGATGATTCAATTAGCAAGTCGTTACAAGCAGTAATCAGGACAAAGTTCTGGTTAGTTAAGCTTAACAACCCTATTACGCCCTAACGCTGAGCGATTTCGAACCGCTTATACATGAAGGTTCCATGAGAAACATTTTCCAGCAATGATTTTTTTCTGGTACTCTTTGATCTCCGAGTACCTGTGAAGAATTAGCACAGTAGCCTAAAAGTTTGAAAATGAAGAGCCCCTTAGAGCAAGCACGGATCAGTAATACATCTTCTTTTTTTTGTAACGTTCACTGGCCGATTTATCCCAAAATGCTAAGGATGGAATCCACATTGCTTTAGAAATGATGAGTCGCCGCACGGATGAGCACCTTCCATTCGATCGCGCCCACATAGTCTCCGAAGGGCTTTAAAATGGGGCTTCAATGTGCAATCTGTCATAAGCACTGATCAGGACTGCAGTTTGCTTGCTTGGTACTGTTCAGTATCCGATCTCCTCCCAGTGATCAGGCCCTGTTTCCTAATGGCTTTACATGTGGCGAGTCCATGCGGTCCCACATAGTATCCGAAAGGCTTTAAGCTGGAGAATCAGTGAGTAATTCATTTCAAGCAAGGCTCAGTTATGTTTTGCGCTGCCTGTCATTTTTGACCAACCCCTAATGCTTGGGAGAGCCGCCCTACGGATGTGAAATTGAGCTTCTTAGAGAAATGTGTCACCTGCAGTGCTCAATAAGGAGATTTGCTTTTTTGGTAATGTTCCTGGGCCGATCTCTTTCAAATGATTAGGACAGTACCCTAAGTGCTTTAAAATAAATGTTCCGTGACAAACTTTTAAAAGAAAAGATCAATAATGATTTTATTTGTTTGGTTGTAATTTTCGAGTGCCAAATCTCTTCTAAATAATCAGCACTGTAGCCGAGTGGCTTTAAGGAGAAGATATACTGAGAAATTTTCCACAAGCTCTGACCAGTTATGACTGTTCTTTGATTGTAATTTTCCATAGCCGATTTTTCCCCAGCTGCTTGAGGGAAGCCAAATTGCTTTAGAAGTGACGCGTCGGAACAGTAGTGAGTTTGCTGTAGACCCTTACCACCTAGTCTTATAACGCTTTTCTCTCCCTTTGGGCTTTTCTCTCCCTCTGGGAGTCGACTCGCTCTGCTCCTCAGGACCTCCACTCACAGAGGGAATAACGCAACCCTGTTCGTTAGACCGGAGTCAACATAAAACAGGAAGTTTATTGAGCATCTCAACACAGCATAGGAAAGTCTCAGGACTCTCAGTCCTCACTTCGCACAGTAAAGCTAAATCTCCCCTGCCTCCAGGTAGGCTCTCTGCCTTTTCTCTCCCCACAGTCCAGAGACACTGCGGTTTCCAACTGGGCAGCCGAGATCACAGGCTCCAACCGCTCCTCCCTAGCCTCTGTGTTCCGTCCCAGGTAAACAGAGACCGGGGGCCCTCTCGCTTCAGCCCTTTCTCATCGGAATCCCTATGCCTGGGGCAACAAGGAAGGGCGAGGCCTACGCATACGAACCCTTACGCCATACGGCTTACCCTTCGAGACCTTAAGCCCTAGGGAACAGAGCCCTAGATATAAAACCCCATTCCCTTGGACAAACTTTTCCATGCAATTATCAATAATGATTTTATTTGTTTCGTTGTAATTTTCGAGCGCCAATCTCTTCCAAATAATCAACACTGTAGCCGAATGGCTTTAAGGAGAAGATTCCCTGAGAAATTTTCCACCAGCTCTGACTAGTTATGACTGTCTCTTTGATTGTAATTTTCCCTAGCCGATTTTTCCCCAGCTGCTTGAGGGAAGCCAAATTGTTTACAAGTGACGCGTCGTATCGGTATTGAGTTTGCTGTAGACCCTTACCACCTAGTCTTATAACGCTTTTCTCTCCCTTTGGGCTTTTGTCTCCCTCAGGGAGTCGACTCGCTCTACTCCTCGGGACCTCCACTCACAGAGGGAATAAAGCAACCCTGTTCGTTAGACCGGAGCCAACATAAAACAGGAAGTTTATTGAGCATCTGAACACAGCATCGGAAAGTCTCTGCACAGTATAGCTATGTCTCCCCTGCCCTCAGGTAGGCTCTCTGAGTTCTCTCGCCCCACAGTCCAGAGACCCTGCGCTTTCCAGCTGGGCAGCCGAGATCCCAGCCTCCAACCGCTCCTCCCCTAGCCTTTGTGTTCCGTCCCAGGTAAACAGAGAGCTGGGGCCCTCTCGCTTCAGCCCTTTCTCGTCGGAATCCCTATGCCTGGGGCAACAAGGAGGGGCGAGGCCTACGCATACGAACCCTTACGCCATACGGCTTACCCTTCGAGACCTTAAGCCCTAGGGAACAGAGCCCTAGATATAAAACCCCATTCCCTAGGGCTGTGCGCGCTCCCCATAGGAATTCGAAGGCTTACTTCACTTTGCCTAGCCATTGGAAACCTAAACCTTAATGGGGTCCTCGGCCCACACAAAGTCTACACGAGTTTGGAAACTGTACCTAGAGGAACCCTATCCCTAGTACTAGTTCTGAAACTCTAGCCATAGTCCTAGGCCCCTAAGCCTAGCTCCAAGTGACTTCCCAATAAGAACTGCACTGAACCGTAATGAAGTTTGCTTCGCTTCAAATGTTCAAGAAACAATGATTCAATTAGCAAGTCGTTACAAGCAGTAATCAGGACAAAGTTCTGGTTAGTTAAGCTTATCAACCCTATTACCCCCTAACGCTGAGCGATTTCGAACCGCTTAAACATGAAGGTTCCATGAGAAACATTTTCCAGCAATGATTTTTTTCTGGTACTCTTCGATCTCCGAGTACCTGTGAAGAATTAGCACAGTAGCCTAAAAGTTTGAAAATGAAGAGCCCCTTAGAGCAAGCACGGATCACTAATACGTCTTCTTTTTTTTGTAACGTTCACTGGCCGATTTATCCCAAAATGCTGAGGATGGAATCCACATTGCTTTAGAAATGATGAGTCGCCGCACGGATGAGCACCTTCCATTCGATCGCGCCCACATAGTCTCCGAAGGGCTTTAAAATGGGACATCAAAGCGCAATCCGTCACAAGCACTGATCAGGACTGGAGTTTGCTTGCTTGGCACTGTTCACTATCCGATCTCCTCCCAGTGATCAGGCCCTGTTTCCTAATGGCTTTACATGTGGCGAGTCCATGCGGTCCCACATAGTATCCGAAAGGCTTTAAGCTGGAGAATCAGTGAGTAATTCATCTCAAGCAAGGCTCAGTTATGTTTTGCTTTGCCTGTCATTTTTTACGAACCCCTAATGCTTGGGCGAGCCGCCCAACAGATGTGAAATTGAGCTTCTTAGAGAAATGTGTCACCTGCAGTGCTCAATAAGGAGATTTGCTTTTTTGGTAATGTTCCTGGGCCGATCTCTTTCAAATGATTAGGACAGTATCCTAAGTGCTTTATAATAAAAGTTCAGTGACAAACTTTTCCAAGCAATGATCAATAATGATTTTATTTGTTTGGTTGTAATTTTTGAGCTCCAATCTCTTCCAAATAATCAGCACTGTAGCCGAATGGCTTTAAGGAGAAGATTCCCTGAGAAAATTTCCACCAGCTCTGACCAGTTATGACTGTCTCTTTGATTGTAATTTTCCCTAGCCGATTTTTCCCCAGCTGCTTGAGGGAAGCCAAATTGTTTACTGTAGACCCTTACCACCTAGTCTTATAACGCTTTTCTCTCCCTTTGGGCTTTTGTCTCCCTCAGGGAGTCTACTCGCTCTACTCCTCGGGACCTCCACTCACAGAGGGAATAAAGCAACCCTGTTCGTTAGACCGGAGCCAACATAAAACAGGAAGTTTATTGAGCATCTCAACACAGCATAGGAAAGTCTCAGGACTCTCAGTCCTCACTTCGCACAGTACAGCTAAGTCTCCCCTGCCTCCAGGTAGGCTCTCTGCCTTTTCTCTCCCCACAGTCCAGAGACCCTGCGGTTTCCAACTGGGCAGCCGAGATCACAGGCTCCAACCTGATCAGGACTGCAGTTTGCTTGTTTGGCACTGTTCACTATCCGATCTCCTCCCAGTGATCAGGCCCTGTTTCCTAATGGCTTTACATGTGGCGAGTCCATGCGGTCGCACATAGTATCCAAAAGGCTTTAAGCTGGAGAATCAGTGAGTAATTCATCTCAAGCAAGGCTCAGTTATGTTTTGCTTTGCCTGTCATGCTTGGGACAGCCGCCCAACTGATTTTAAATTTCCCGCAAACTCTGACCAGTTATGACTGTCTCTTTGATTGTAAATTTCCCTAGCCGATTTTTCCCCACATGCTTGAGGGAAGCATTGCTTTAGAAGTGACGAGTCTGATCAGTAATGACATTTGTTTTCGCTGTTATTTTCCCACACCGATCGTCCCGTAATGCTCAGGATAGCAGCCTAATTGATTTATAACTTGGATTTCCCTGAGAACTTTGTCATACGACCTGATCAGTATTGCCTTTCTTGCTGTTCATAATTGTCATGCGCCCATGTCGGCCACAAAATCAGGAAGGTATCCTAATTGCTTAACCATGCAGATTCCCTGAGACAGTTGTCACAAGCACTGATCAGTAATAAGCTTTGCGTTCTTTGAAGGTTTCACGACTCGGTCTGTAATGCTCATGACAGCAGCCTAAGTGCTCTGAAATTGACACCCTTGGAGTAAAGCGCCAGCCGCAATGATGAGACATGAGTTGTGATTTATTTCTTGTTGGTTTTTTTTGCCACAATCCTAGCGCTCCCAAATTATGAATAACCTTTCCCAATAGCTTTATGTTGAAGAGTCCATCAGAAAGTTCTCACAAACAGCGATCAGTTATGCTATTTGCTTGTTTTAAAAATAAGTTTCACGCCCCGTTCTCTTCCAAATGCTCAGTACCGAATCCTCAGGGATGGAAGATGTAGAGTTCATGAGAAATTTGTGACACGCTCCATTCAGTGACGAATGTCGTTGTTTCTTCTTTTCGCCCCAGACAGAGGTTCCCAGAGGAACCTCAGTCCATCCGACCCCGCCCCATTCAGATGTGTCTTTGCTACAGGACCCTAACTGGGGGTCCGACCACCACCCCACAGCACCCGTGTCCCAGTGAGGGTAGGGAGCGAGCCCACATCTTTGGTTGCCAGTGTGATGCACCTCTCCCCTGTGCAGGGTTGTTGACCCACTCAGCTTCAGGGACTGGCTACAGACAGACAGGTAAAAGAAGCTTTGTAGTTCTTCCCTTGTGCTACTAGCCTGGGGGGAGAGTACTCCTTCCCTGACCTCTCCGCCGTCTGATCTCTGGGTTCAGCTCTTTGGCCATTACTGGCACGGGGGGCCGGATCCTATCTTAAAGAGACACAGTCACTTCCCAAGAGTACATCAAGCTGCTGTGCTAAAGAAGCCCAGCTAACAGCCCTGCACCCCGAGGGTTCCTGTGTCTGCACAGGAACCCCGGGTGCATGGCTGTTGTCTGGGAGCCTTTCCCCAAGTTACACGGCCCCTCGAGTCCTACAAGGGGGGATCAGCCCGCCCTGGCCTTCATGGGCACCCCTGAGTTGCGCTTCCTGGAGTCCCACTTTTGAGAGGTTTCTGGGTGACTCCCCTTCTGAGTCTCCGTTGTGGGTCTCCCTCCTCCCCCCCGATCTGCTATCCACAAACTCATCCGCCAGTGCACCCCCACTGCACATCTCTTTTAGCTTCCAGTCCACTAACCACATCTTATGAGGGCAGATGTCATACAGCTCCTCCAACCTCACCAGGTTATACACGTCCTCGACGGTACTGGCTCCTTTGCCCTTTCCCCATTTACAGAACTATTCCCCCAGCAGGCTGGCGACCTCCTTGCCTGAGGTCTTGTGAGCACCATGGAATCATTTCCTGTGTACGTGGGGGTCAGCTCAAACTCGACAGCAAAGCCTGTTTGAACAGGTCATGGTCCCCCGTCTCAATACCATCCATTTGGCTGAATGCCTCTATAGCCTTGAGACCCAGCAGGGGGCGGGGTTAGACAGCGGAGCCTGTCTGCCAGGTCAATCTAGTTCAGATCACAAGACTTCTCAAAAGCTGTGAGGTAGGCATCAATATCCCTCCGCACCTTAAACTAGGGCAGCATTTGGTGTCTAGATGCCCTGCAGAACTGCCCCACTTATCCCCTGGCAGGCCCTCTTGGCCTGCCTCTCTTCAGACTCCAGCTCATGTTTTCATTGCTCTGAGTGGTCAGTTAACCTCTGCTCCTTTGCCTCCACTCCTTCACTCTCAGCTCGTTTCCATCTCTTCACATCCACTGGGGGAAAGCCCCACTGGCAGTTGGGGAACTGGGTTTGGCGGCTCCCCTGCCACTACCCCAACTGCCTCCTGCTACTCCCAGGCTCTCTGGCCAATCCGGAAGCCCCGCTGGGATCTGATCTTTATCCTCAGACTGGTCACTCTCTACCAGCCGGTCAGTCAGCTGTTCCTGGGTGAGCCTCCCCATGCTCAGCCCTCTCTCCATGCACAGACATGACAGGTCTCTCTTACGGAGCTGCTTATAGGCCGTTTCCGTGCTGGGTCCTTCAATTCCCTCATTTTATCGCTGGCAGTCACTCATGCCCTGAATTATGAGAGTTTCTATCCCTTATCATTTTGTTTTAAATCCTATGTGATGCAACTTTGGCTGTTTACTATTAAAATAAACATCCAATCCCTTTTGTAATCCTACTAAACTCTTGGCCTTGAGGGTATATTGTGGGAACAAGTTCTACAGGTGAATTACATAAATCAAATAGCATTTCTTTTCATCTGTTTCAATTTTTTGTCTACCTCTGGACCTCTTCTATTTCCGTTGACCACAAATGAAAATAATTTTCTGGCTGAAGATGTGTTATTACTAGGTGTTATCTGCCATCGGGCTGGATTAATCACATAGACCTGGGGCCTGATTATTTCGTTTTTACACTTTTTCTTTTGCACTCATGGTCCTGAAAGCTATCCAGGCCAATAAGATGGAAGCATCGTGGGAGGGGCCATTTATGGTCCAAGAGTGCCTGGGAGCTGTTAATTACCCCATAGTGTTCCCGACCCTACCCTAAAACCTAAAGTATACCATGTTAATTCTCTAATGCCCTTTTATTCCCGAGATATCAAGGTTCTCCAGTTTACGCCCAGGAGAGAGGCGCTGCTGAGTGGCCTGAAGGAGTCTACTATGAAGGAAAAAGCAACAGTGGCGTAGAAGAGGTGAGCCTTTCCATAACCCTTGGGCATAAACAGGGACAGCAAATCCAGGAGTGGTGCACCAGCTTTGTGCCAATGTTTTCAGCCACCCCAGGACAGACAGAACGGGAGTACCACTCCATTGACACAAGTGATGCTCGCCCAATTAGAGCCCAACCCTACCAGATGACTCCTCAAGACAAAACCGCAATAGAAAGGGAGATCAAGGACATGTTACAGGTGGATGTAATCCACCCCTCTCAGAGTGCATCGGCCTTTCCAGTGGTTCTGGGTCCCAAACCAGATGGGGAAATCCGCTTTTGTGTGGACTACCGTAAGCTCAATGCTGTAACTTGTCCAGACAACTATCCATGCCACACACAGATGAGCTATTGGAGAAACTGGGACGTGCCCCGTTCATCTACACCTTAGACTTAACTAAGGGGTACTGGCAAGTGCTGTTAGATGACCCCGTCAAGGAAAGGTCAGCCTTCATCACCCATGTAGGGCTGTATGAATTTAATGTGTTCCCTTTTGGACTGTGAAATGCACCCGCCATCTTCCAAAGACCGTGAGATAACCTTCTGGCTGGATTTGGGGAATTTGCAGTCACTTACCTTGACGATGTGGCTATATTCTCAGATTCATGGGCAGAATACCTGGAACACCTCCAAGCTATCTTCCAGCACATAAGGAAGGCAGGATTAACTGTTAAGACCAAAAAATGTCAAATAGGCCTAAACAGGGTAACGTACTTTGGACACCAGGTGGGTCAAAGAACTATCAACCGCCTACAGGTTAATGTAAATGCTATCCAAAATTGGCCTGTCCCTAAGTCAAAGCAGGTCCAATCCTTCTTGGGTTTTGCTGGGTATTACCAATGATTTGTACCACACTACAGCCAAATTGCCACCCCATTGACAGACCTGACCAGGAAAAAACACCCAAATGCGGTTCAGTGGACTGAGAACTGTCAGAAAGCCTTTAACCAGCTTAAGGCGGCCCTTATGTCTGACCCTGTAGTAAGGGCCCCGGACTTTGCCCAACCTTTCGTCGTAACCACAGGTGCATCCGAGCATGGTGTAGGAGCAGTTTTAATGCAGGAAGGACCAGATCAACAATTCCATCCTGTCATGTTTCGCAGCAAAAGAATTTCTGAGAGGGAAAGCCACTGGTCAGTCTCAGAAAAAGAATGTTACACCATTATGTATGCTCTGGAGAAGCTATGCCCATACATTTGGGGACAGCGTTTCCACCTGCAGACTGAGTATGCTGCACTAACGTGGTTTCACACAGTCAAAGAAACTAACAAAAAACGTCTTTAGCGGAGTTTAGCTCTCCAAGACTTTGATTTTGAAATACAACACATTTCAGGAGCCTCTAACAAAGTGGCTGATGCACTCTCCCAGGAAGGTTTTGCAGAATTAGACGGGTAAAAATGTCGTGTATTCTAAGTCATTATAGTCCTTGAAATGTGAGAAATACTGTTTAGTTCTTCATGTAATTATTAATAAAGTTAGAGGTGCATGTATCTTATTAACGCTATTTCTTAAACCTCCAGGAAGAAATCCCAGCCAGTGTGGACGCAACCTGAACCAGGCTGGCCAGCACCATCTGTGATTTGAGGGGCGTGTGATAAATAAAGGTGGGGGGTAGCTCCCTTTTGTGGACATCTAGCCAGCCAGTTAGATATAGAATCCCTCTTGGCAGTTGTTCTCTACTTGCTTTACCTGTAAAGGATTAACAAGTCCACAGGTAAAAGGAAAGGAGTGGGCACCTGACCAAAAGAGCCAATGGGAGAGCTAGAACTTTTTAAAATTGGAAAGAAACTTTCCCTTTGTCTGTTGTTGTTATCTGGAGAGCAGAGACACAAAGCAGCAATGCGGTAAGCAGCTTTAAAACCAGGTATGAAAAAGCATCAATTCATACCTTGAACCTCAGGGCCTGTGACCTTTCCCTTGTGACACACCCTCATACACACTGCCTCCAAAACAATGTGTGCCCCTCAGGGCGAGTCACCTAGCCCTTGTGATACCCCCTCTTATACACTGCCTCCAAAAGATTGTGTGCCCCTCAGGGCCTGTAACATGGTCCTTGTGACACCTCCCACCCCTCCCAAACACTGCGCATCCCTCAGTCCCATCACCTGACTCTTCTGATACCCCGCTATGCACATTGCCTCCAAAACTCTGGGCGCCCCTCACAGCCAGTCAGCTTGCGCTTGTGACAACCCCGCTTACACAAAGCATCCAAAACTCCAGGCGTCCCTCATGGCTCATCATGTGGCCCTTGTGACACCCCCCCCATACACATTTCCTCCAAATCACTGCATGCCCCTCAGGGCCTGTAATCTTGCCCTTTTGACACCTCTTTGTACACACTGCCTCCAAAACACTGTGGGCCCTTCAGAACCTGTCATCTAGCCCTTGTCACACCCGCTGCCCAAGACACACAACCTCCAAAACATTGTGCGTCTCTCAGTCCCATCACCTAACGCTTCTGACACCCCCCTGTGATGTTATTGACATGAATTGTGACCGTATAGATCATTGTTGCAACCAAGGTCCTATAGTTGCACCAAATCTTGTACAAAGGAGGTCATGTAAGGTGTCTATAGAAAGGTTGTAATTTGCTAATTATAATTATGCTGTCTGTATGTGTGTATCCCATTTTTGTATTTGAAGTTATGAATATTGGCTACGTACTTGTATCTCAATGTGTTTGATTCTAAGTAGCCTCAGTGAAGCATTTGGTCAGCTTCTTGAGAAAGGACTATTCTCAGTAAGTGCCCAATCAAGAAATGGTTAACTGACAATGGACTTTGGGAGACGCTAATACACATCTGAGCTTTCCTGGGAACGTTCAAACTAATATGTAAACAATGGTGTCGGCCTGCAAAAAGCTGAATCATTCACTTGCCCACATGGTTGTAATTTGCACAGAAGAACAAAGGGGTTTCCGCCCACAAGACAGAGAATATAAAAGGTCCTGGAGACCCCTCCATTTTGTCTTCAGCTGGGTCAAGAGATGGCATCTCCACCCCAAAGAGATGCCTGAAAGAAACTGGAACAAAGGTCTGTAACTACGGTGCTGTGAGTGATTGCTGAACCCAGGCCATAAATCACAACGTTGTTCTGAAAAGGATTGGGCCCAAACTAGAAAGGAGTCTAGTCTGTGAAAGAAGCTTATTGGGACATCTCTGAGGGTGAGATTTACCTGTATTCAGTTTCCTACTGTATTAGGCTTAGACTTGCGTGTTTTGTTTTATTTTGCTTGGTAACTTACTTTGTTCTGTCTGTTATTACTTGGAACCACTTAAATCCTACTTTTTATACCTAATAAAATCACTTTTTGTTTATTATTGAACCCAGAGTAAGTAATTAGTACCTGGGAGAGCAAACAGCTGTGCATATCGCTCTATCAGTGTTATCGAGGGTGGACAATTTATGAGTTTACCCTGTATAAGCTTTATACAGAGTAAAACGGATTTATTTGGGGTTTGGGTGCTAGGGACAGGAGCACTTCTTAAGCTGTTTTCCATTAAGTCTGCAGCTTTGGGGTGCGTGATTCAGACCCTGGGTTGTGTTGGAGCAGACGGGGATGTCTGGCTCAACAAGGCAGGATTCTGGAGGCCCAAACTGGCAGAGAAAACGGACTCAGAGGTAGTCTCAGCACATCAGGTGACAGTCCCAAGAGGGTTTCTGTGATCGAGCCGGTCACACCCCCCATATACATTGCCTCCAAAACACTCCATGCCCCTCAACGTTCGTCACCAGCATCTTGTGACATCCCTAATACACATAGCCTCCAAAATATTGCATGCCGCTCAGGGCACGTCCCCTCGCCCTTGTGACAAACTCCATACATACTGCCTTGAAAACACTGTGCACCCCTCAGGGCCCATCACTTGGTCCTTGTGACCACCCAAATCACACCATACACACTGGCTCCAAAACACTGCGCACCCCTTAGGGCCCGTAACCTTGCCCTTTTGAAACCATTTCATAAACACTGCCTCCAACTGCCCACACTGTGGGCCCCTCAGGGCTTGTCATTTAGCCCTTGTCACACCCGCCGCCCCAGACACACAGCCTCCAAAACACTGTGCATACCTCAGTCTCGTCACCTAACGCTTCTGACACCGCCACCCTCACATATACATTGCCTCCAAAACACTCCGTGCCCCTCAAAGTTCGTCACCAGCATCTTGTGACATCCCTAATACACATAGCCTCCAAAATATTGCTTGCTGCTCAGGGCATGTAACATCGCCCTTGTGACAAACCCCATAAACACTGTCTCCAAAACACTGTGTCGCCCCTCAGGGCCTGTCACCTGGTCCTTGTGACAGCTCCCCCCCACCACACCATACACACTGCCTAAAATACACAGCACGTCCGTCATAGCCTGTCACCTGCCAAGAAATTAGTTCCCGAATCCATAAGGATGTTGGAGGGCCAACCTACCTTGACAAAAATGTTTGTCAATGCCTGGCACACACTTTTAGCCCTGGTGTTGCTTAGCATTACGGCTTCCAGCCATCAGACGGCAAAATCCATGAAAGTTAGTATGTACTGCTTTCTTCTTGGTGTCTTTTTCGGGAAAGGACCCAGAATATCCACAGCTACTCGCTGAAATGGAACTTCAATTATGGGGAGTGGCTGGAGAGGGGCTTTGACCTGGCCTTGGGGTTTTCCCACTCTTTGGCATACCTCACAAAACAGGACATAGGTAGAAATGTCCTTGCCCATTCCCTCCCAGTGGAATGACCGTCCCAAAAGGGCTTTGATCCTGTTCACCCCAGCACGGCCACTGGGATGATCGTGGGCTAAGCTTAAGAGCTTTACCTGGTTCTTAGTTTAGGGGGGAGGGATAGTTCAGTGCTTTGCGCATTGGCCTGCTAAACCCAGGGTTGTGAGTACAATCCTTGAGGGGGCCATTTAGGGATTTGGGGCAAAAATTTGTCTGGGGATTGGTCCTGCTTTGAGCAGGGTGTTGGACTAGATGACCTCCTGAGATCCCTTCCAACCCTGCTATTCTATGATTAGTTGGAATTACCAACTGTCTTTGACGATGCCAGTCCTCCTGGTGCCCAGCAGAAAGAGTTTCCTTGTATAAAAGTCCTCTTTTTACAACAAACCGGGATCGATTAGAAGAGTTGAGAGGTGGTGGGTTGCTCTGTGTCACCCTCCAAGCTCCCTGGAGGCTTCCTGCTTCCTGCTCAGCCTGGAACTGTTCCCTTGATGCTGGAGACATCAGTTCCTCACTGGATTGTGGACTTGGGTTTGGTCCCTCTGGGAGCGATGTAGATGATGGGGTTGTTTCTGTTGACTGTGAACTGCTCTCTGCTGGTGCACTATGTTGTATTTCAGGCTATGTCTGAGCCTCCAAAATTCTGGGTACCCTCATGGCTCATCACGTGGCCCTTGTGACAGCCCCGTCCCAGACACACTGCCTACAAAACACTATGCGCCCCCCCAGGGCGCTTCACCTGGCCCTTGTGAACCCCCCCCATACACACAGCATCCAAAACTCCAGATGCCTCATGGCCTGTCATGAGGCCCTTTTGAAACACATCCCCCAGACACCCTTTCTGAAAAACACTGCGTGCCCCTCAGAGTCCATCACCTGGCTCTTGTGACAACCCCCCATACACACAGCATCCAAAACTCCAGGCACCCATCATGGTTCGTCACGTGGCCCTTGTGACATACTCCTCCCCCTGCCCCAGACACACTGCCTGCAAAACACTTTGTTCCCCTCAGGGCCTGTCACCTTGCCCTGTGACGCCAACCCCCCATACACATTGCCTCCAAAGCACTGCACACCCATCAGGGCCCATCACCTGGTCCTTGTGACTGCCCCACACACACCATACGCACTGCCTCCAAAACACTGCACGTCCCTCAGAGCCCGTCATGTGGCCCTTGTGACGCACACTCCACACACACACTGTCTCTAAAACACTGCGTGCCCCACACGGCCTGTAACCTTGCCCTTTTGACACTGCTTCGTACACACTGCCTCCAAAAGGCTCCTCTGGGCATGTCATCTAGCCGTTGTCACACACGCCGCCCCAGACACACAGCCTTCAAAACACCATGCGTCCCTCAATCCCGTCACCTAACGCTTCTGACACCCCCTCATATAAATTGCCTCTAAAACATGCCGTGCCCCTTAAAGTTCATCACCGGCCTCTTGTGACATCCCTAATACACATAGGCTCCAAAATATTGCACACTTCTCAGGGCATGTAAAATCGCCCTTGTGACAAACCCCATACATACTGTCTCGAAAACAGTGTGTGCCCCTCAGGGCCCGTCACACCGTCATATACACTGCCTTCAAAATATTGTGCGCCCTTCAGGGCACGTCTCCTGCCCTGGAGATACTGACCCACACACTGTCTCCAAAACACCATGCATCCCTCAGTCCCGTCACCTGACCCTTCTGACACTTCCCCCTATACATTGCCTCCAAAACACTGCATGCCCCTCAGGGCTCTTGTAACATACACTGCCCCCAGACACACTGTCTTGAAAATACTGCCTGCCCCTCAGAGTTCATTGCGGGCTCTTGTGACACCCCCAATACAACTAACCTCTAAAATACTGCATTCCGCTCAGGGTACGTCACATGGTCCTTGTGACACGCCTCCCATATATACTACCTCCAAAAATACTGTGTGCTGCTCAGAGCCCGTCACCTGGCCATTTTGAGCCCCCCCCCCATAAACACTGTCTCCAAAACACTGTGTACCCCTCAGGGCCTGTCACGTGGCACTTGTGACACCCACCCACACCCCATACGCACTGTCTCCAAAACACTGCATGTCGCTCAGAGCCCGTCCCCTGGGCCTTGTGACACCCATCCCTCCCCACACACATACATACCTCCAAAACACCACGCTTCCCTTAGGCCCTGTCACCTGGCCCTTGTGGGTCATCCCTCCCCCACCCACTGCAGAGCTTCTAGTTCTTGTGATTTTATTATGAGACTTGGTATTTATTTTAAAGCCCAAGTTTCTGGAATGTCTAGGACTAACAAAATCCTAGACAAGGTGGGTCGGCAATTACCTCACTACTGTGAATCTCACCAGGGGCTACTGGCAGGTGCCTTTGGACCCAGTTGCCAGGTTGAAATCTGCGCCTATCACCCCTATAGGGCTCTGAGTTCCTGGTCCTACCTTTCGGCCTCAGGAGGGCGCCCAGCACCTCTCAGCGCCAGGTGGATCAGTTACTGAGGGGGGTGGAGGACTGTGCCCTGGTGTACATTCAAGATATCTGTGTCTTCAGCCTGACCTGGGAGAACTGTGTCCCAGTGAAGAGGGGGCTGGGATGCCTCTAGGATGCAGGACGGATGGTAGAGGCCGGAAAGGGTAAAATGAGGATGGCAGCTGTATTGTACCTGAGCCACAACGTGGGAAGCAGCTGCCTAAAGCCAGAGCCACCCAAGGTGAAGGTAACCAGAGATTGGCCCATTCCTCAAATCGAGAAACAGGCCCAGGTCTCTAATGGGATGGCAGGGTACTACTGAAGCTTTGTACCCCACTTTAGCTCCCATTACGAAGCTTGGTAATTTGG